TGTTTTCCAGGGCAGAATTTTTAATTGAATTCTGAGCCCTGTAGTATTCAGCAATTTGGTGTGGCAATGCTGATGGCATCTGGAAGTCCATAGGAGATGTTAGTGAAACTTCATTACCAGTGCCCATACTAACACGGCCGTCCAACATGGCTTCAATTTGTTCTGCCATCGCGTCCTCTTCGGTGTCTGTCGAATAGTCCGATGACATCGACGTTTCTTGGATCTGTAAAAGCACACAAATACTTTTTTTAATTTATATAACTTAAAAGTGCACGATGTCACATTTTGGTTGGGGGTTCGTCACCTGCTTGTTTCTATAGATATGTCATTGCTTTGCCTCAAATGTTTCACAGTATGACATTAATCAGCTCTACCTTACATTTATTAAACTACAGGTAGTTTTGAAGCTCAAAAATGCCCAGAAAACAGGCATTCTGACTGTGAGCGCGGTTGCCTCTCCACAGACCTGACCTGTAACTTGTTCTGGTTTGGTCTCCATGAAGATAAAAAGGTGTGATACCATACAGTGAAACATTCCAGGTAAAGCAATAACATCTCCAAAAGCTTTGTCGAAAAAGCTGATATAAAGAAAGCCAGCTAGAGATGGAATAGCACTGTGTCCTATGTGTGTGTATGTGTGGGATGGGAGTTTACCTGCGATGCAGAGGGCGTAGAGGGACTGGCTTTAGGCGAGTTTCTTGCACCGTTGGCCTGTTTTGCCACCTCCAGAGGGCTCTCCGGTCGGGAGTAAGGATTGTTCCGAGGAGAATAAAAGTTTTTCCTTGGAGAAGGCCCGTGTGATCTGGAGGACCCCGGTGTTGCCGGAGAGTCCAGTGCTCCTGAGTTACTCTCAGTGTCCTCACTTATAAAGCCGTTCATCATGGCTTCAAGTTCGGCTGCCATCTCCTTCTCTTCCTCTGTAACGGGTTCCAACTCCTACAGAAAAAAAAAAAAACACTTTAAATGATCTACCACCACATTATAACAACTGTTTTATGGTTGATATTAAGAAATCCCTAGCAAAAGTTTGAATCACACTGTTTCTATGTGTAACTTGTTTGTGTGGGACTGGAGATTACCGTCGATGGAGAGGGCCCCTGTTTCGCTGGAGAGCCCGGTGACC